CACGGCACATCTCCGAGTGGCCTATGGACTGCAAGTTCGACTCCAAGCGCGAGCCGGCCCACCCAGCACTTACGGCCGGGCAGGGCGGACGGAGGAGGAACGCAAAAGTGAATGTGTCATAAAGAGGCCCTAGCCCTACAGAGTGTATAGCGTCATGCTAGCGTACCTGCTCCAGATTATGACTGCAGAATGCCTAGCAGACAAAAGCATGGCACATGAAGACATGCTAGTTAGTAAGGCTGCAGACAGGCGGACGGGCAAGGACAGCGGTCAGTCGCAGTGCGCCTTAAGGCACTCAAAGCATTTGTGCCCCTGGTGGCCGTCTCGCTCACCCACCATCACCGGACGGAGACAAAGGCCGTAGCAGGTGGCGGAACGGATCCGGGCGGAGCAGGAATGAGAACAATAGCCTCAAAACGGCAGGTGCGCGACGGGCTCAGCCGGCTCTTGGAGCTGTACCCAATTGGGTATCTCGCAGGCCTTCAGACAGAAGATGTCCGCGTACGGCCACCAAGCCGGACGGATCATCGTGCACTCACTGTACAGACGGAAGCACCGGATTAATGAGCCAGCCTTCGTCAGAAGTCCACGGACCACGGTTCGCACGCCTCGGGGACAGAGGCGGAATAGGGTCACGCCACATGTACTGGACATCAGTGACGGGGTTCGGCTGGGCAGGCGGATCGGCTTGGACGTGCATTGGCAAGTCAGACGGAGCCGGCTCCACACGGACGGGGTCCGTGATATCTGCCCACGGGTCACGGCTCGCCGGCGGCTGGCCCTCTGATCCGGACGGGGTGGTGTTCACGATAAGGCTGAACACCGTACTCCCCACTAGGTCGCGCAGACGGGCAAGCTCGGAAGCACGGAGTGCGGCCAGGGCGGGCGTAATCGCCTCATCGGAATGGCCATGCAGGCAGAAGCTAAAAGCAAGACCGGGCACAGTTTGCAGGCAGTCCTCCGTGTCCTCGAGCAGAGGGACGGACGGAGGAGAAACTTCCACCTGGCGGACAGAGTGGAGAACCACTAGTACGCACCAAGGGCGGAAGCGAGAGTAAGGTCGGCACCCAGCTAGACCTGCACGGCAAGCAGGCGGACCCAAAAGAGACTAAGACAGCCCCCAGCCTGGTCGGAGAGGGAGTCAAAATCTCGTCCACTTCGGCACCTGGGCACGGAAAGCGGACAGAAAATGAGCAGGAGAGAGCAGCCGACCCAGCCTGCAGGAGGAGGGCCAGAGCTCATCAGCCTGCAAGCGGAGTCCAGTGATGGAACCGCTGAAAAGAAAGATACCCCACCTCGAAGGTGAGGATGTCGCATCCATGGCTACGGACAGGCAGAAGCAAAAGTGCACACAAAGCGGACAGAATGCAACATGACGTGAAACATGTGCACATGACGACATGAAAACCCAAAAATCCAAATGCTGATGCTGCACTATGTTCTGCCTGCGAGCCAAGATGCTAGGATAGCATGCTTGCCGTTGCGTCAGTGCACAAACATCACTGATTAAACTCAAGAAAATACGCAACCAATCCTCAATCGATCTGAACAGATGTACTAGATCTGAGCTCGTGATTGAAACTGTGTCCTTCAAAGAGAGAGAGATCTGAGGTGGTGGTACAGTCAACTGCGCATGGTGCGTCGCTAATGTGGTCCATCGCTTGTCGGCTGAACGACAGCAGGCCGATTTCTTTCCCGTACTTCCGCGCAAAGTTGTGCATGGCCCCCGTTAAGAAAAAGAAAGCTTTTGGGAAGAAGAGGCCGCTGATCCAGAAAACCCGTGAACCATGACCCAGGTCAAACCACATCTGGAAGAACCTTGGCGGATCAAATGTTACGTCGCACAGTGGCTGGGCCGGTCGGTAAAAAGAGAAAACTTGTGGCTGGAAATGAGTTCTTGCGCAACAAGTGTGCATCAGGACATCCTTTTGAAATACTTCCCTACAAACCTCAACAACTCAAGGTCGCCTTCCATAGCGCTCACCAATTTCATGGAAAGTTTCTTGAGAGTAAACATCAAATCAGGGCGTTACGTGAGTATTCCTACGCCCTTCCGAAACAGGGAACCTTCTTAGGGAATGCTCCTCCAAGCTGTAAAACCTCTTTGAGGGACTCAATGTGCTTTCTGTTCATCGAACACTCGACTCCATCGAGAGTCGCTGTAAGTCCTCTTTAAGAGTCCTATCGCCTCCTCCTCCTCCTCCTCCCCCTCCTGCTTCTGCATCACCCATCATGACTCACCGGCAGTGCTCATAGGACAGCTTGGATGCAATTGTTGTCACTTGCTCACAATCTCTGACTAACCAGACTGCACAGCCCAGCTTTCTCCCGGATGGAGAAGAGGCCAGAAGTCTCACGCTATGCCTTTGGCACAGGTCTTTTTCGAAGCTATGCCTTTGGCATTGCTTTCCTTGGTTACCATTCGAGGCCGCGGGTATGAGTTGCGCCAGAGGAAAGTCAGCTGAGACATGCACGACTTTGCTACCATTTTCCGCTTTACATCGTTTGTGATCGTCTTCGCCTTGGTAGTTCCAACAAAACTGCGAAGGCATCCAACATCCAGGCACGGATGCGCTTGCAAGCTTCAAGTGCCATGCCCTGGTTGCAAACTTCAGCGTCATAACAGTTTCCTGCATAAGTCAAGACAACCTTTGACATGCGAGGTAGAGACATTACTAAATACATCAGGCCTCATAGTTTGAGCTGGCCGGCGAGCAGTTGACGAACATAAGAGTCTTTGACCTGGAAAGGCAGGCTCAGGATGAAGGACAAAAAGAGCCCTCCCTTGCGCTCAGCCGACGACGTGCCACCCAGTGCATCGGACCTTAGACACATACTTGATATCATACTTGTTTCAACAGTAAGGGACACTACACATGTAGCTTTGTCTCCGTCAATTTGAGCACATTGCATGACCTGGGTGAGCTTGTGGTTCTTGTATGGCACATGCGCAGCACCTCTGAAAACAGCCAAGAAAGGTGAGGGATGTCCGCACAACATTGAGCTACAGAGGCATGATGAATCTTTGGCCCAGTGCATGGTCTGCAAAGTAAATGGATGGTCAAAGTAAGGGCAGGTGTGAAAATTACATGGAAAGCAAATGCCTGCGTTGCTGATGTCTACAAACGCAAAAACTGTCCACAGTGAACACGGGGCTGCCAGAGCCAGATTGTGTTAGTGGACCATTTACCATACCTTCTCAAACTAATCCCAACTGAACCCTCAAGGGGCTCAAAATCTGGCACAACGACTGGTAGCTCCAAGAACCTCACATGTTCTGTAGGGACGGCTTCACGAAACAAAAATCTAGAAAGGCCTTCCTAGATGGGTAAAGCGAAGACACTCTACAGGCATTTGTCAGAAAGATAAACAAGAGGGCACTCTGCGCAGAAGTGATGCCCGTGCGGGCATGCGGCGCAAGAGGCGACGCAAAGGGCTGTGCGGGTTGCTGAAGGCAAGGCAGGGCAAGGCGCGAGGCCTCAAACGAAGCCATAATCCGAACCGCCAAACCAAAAATCCAGGCCACAACCCCCCCAACTGGCACTGAACCCTCCAAGGCCTTTGACCAGGGACTCCATGACCTGGAAGCAGCAAATCTAATGCAAAGACTGCAAACTCTTGCACGAAGTCACAAAGGATCACACAGTCTCAATTACAGCAACAACAGCACTTGTGAATTATGAAGGCAACCAAGGGACGTCGCCCAAAGCTGTCAGAGACCTGAGCTTGGCAGCTTGGCAGCCTGGCTATCGTCCAAACGGGAAAGAACTGCAGCTGTGACTTACCCTCTTGCCCTCATCTCGGGCAGATACTTGTTGATCTCAATCGCTTCTTTCTGCGCGTCGCCTGAGACCTTAGAGGTATTTTCGCAAAATTCGGAGCAGTTGGAATGTGGGGCAAAGCCTGGGCTCTCAACGTCAGACTTCTTCAGTCTCTCAGACCCAGCCAAATCACAGAGGAGAATTCTGGCATGCCACAATTGCGACAGCGCATTTGCAGCAAAGCACCAAAAAATTGCCCATTCAAGCAAGGCCGTGAGACTTCCCACTCAGCTTCTGCTCCGTTTGCTTGTTGACGCCTGTACGTGTGCTGCGTGCAGGCTTGGCTATTGATCGCAAATGTATATCAAGGGAGAAAGGTTTCCCTAATTGGGCCAGCCCGCCAACAACTCGAATAATGAGAATGAGGTGGGATCGCGAACCTCAGTTTTGACGTCCACTTCAGGCTGCATAATGTCATTGGACATTAACTGCACACAGACTGAGCCCCAAGCTCTCGCTATTCATTTTGGTGGCACCTTGAGCGTCATCACATTGCGGACCGGGAGTCTTCAGCGGGTAAGCTACCATTTAATTGCATATGATCTTGGCAAACGGCACACGGTCCTCATTTGATTTCCGCGCCTTAGTGGGAAACATGCTAAAAAGCGGCGCCCGTCTCAGATCCAGAAAAACAAACCTCATCTGAACCTCTCTAGCAAACTCCTGATTCAGAGGCGACTTCTGCCCAAGTGCCCAACTCCAGAAGGTCAGAAAGAGCCTGCAGGCGTTGAGAAGCTGGATCCGTGATTTTACGCCGGACATCAGGATCAGACAAGATCATGGTCTGGCAATTTCATGTCATGGGTCGCTTTCGGAGTCGTTTGTGGGATCCTAGCATTGGGGAAATTGTTGTTCCAAAGGCATCAGTGTCATGTTTTCCTCGGACAAAGGAGCCTTTGGAGGTTGCGCGTCCCTTGCAGATATGATTTCCGACTGCATTCTGGTTTCATGTTTCTGTCGAGTCTTCTGACGTCGGATTCTGACATGTTGGAGGTTCCATCTCACTTGGACAACAATATCCAATATCAGGCTTGGGGGACCTTCTGTCGTTTTGGGGATGCAGCATGTTGGTTCCTTCGGACATACCTTTGCCAACCACATCAGTGGGATCCTGGAATTTTTGGATGCTGTTTTCCTTGCACACCCACATCATGAATCCCTTTCTGGAAAGTTTCTTTGCTTTACAGCACACTGCTAGAGAGCTCTCACAGGAACCTCACCTCAGATTGAAAGGCTTTGTAGCGTTATGCCGAGCCCAGGTGTATCTGGATTCTCTTGCACGCTTAAACAGCAAAAATCGCCAAATGCACACTGCCACTGCGTCCAACCGTCTTTTGGCTTTGGGATCCGTTCATTGTGGAGGTCACATTTCTCTTGCCTCAAATTTGGAAGGTCGCGAGGCGGATTGGAGGGCTGGAAGGGATGCAAGATGCCAACAAGACGGTTGTCAATTGGACATAGAGACTACACTTCAGATGACCGCGTGAGTATTATCTCATACTACTTGCGCTTCCACGAATGCGGTCACGACTGCTTCTTATCAACTCTGCTCCTGCTGCTGCTGCTGCTGCTGCCGCCGCCGCCGCTGCTGCTGCTGCTGCCGCCGCTGCTGCTGCTGTGTATTGTGCACATTTTTTGGGAAGCTTCAACGTTCTCAAATCTCATGCTTTTGCTGCTTTCTGCTGCAAGCTTTTGCTGAAGACATCTTCACAGGGCTCCCAGGCTGAAGACTCTTACTGTCATGGATGCAGCAGCCTCCGCAGTCTTGCACTCCTCCTCCCGCAGGTGCTCGATTTGAACAGCACCAGACTGCAGGCAACAGTGAGGGCGGCTGTTTGGGGGTAGCAACAATACTAGTACTAGTAGCACTAGAAGCACTAGTAGCAGCAGCAGGAGCAGCAGTAGTAGTAATAGTAGTAATGGCAGTAGTAGGATCACGGTCCGCATCCGGCCGTGGTATCAACCCTGTTTTTGCTTCGCGCTGAAAATCTGCATTTTGGTAGCAAACACGTGTCTCGGCCTAGCACGGCCAAAAACGCTCGTTTTGAAAAAGTGTCGAGATTTGTTGACGTCCATGCCCGCAAAACCACAGTTTCCACAAGATTTCATATGAAATGTTCGTGAAATTTGCCAAAATTGCCTTTCCGAGCTTTTCCCTTGTTGTTTGCGTTTTTCCGTTTTGCATTTCTCGTTGCTTACGTTTTCGAATCGTAGAACGTGATCAAAACCTCAGTTTTGGCCCTCAGTTTCGGCACGTTCGACCTTTTTTCACTGCATATCCCTTCGGTTTTGCGGGTGGGGAGGTGCCAAACGTTGCGTTTCGACGTGCTTCGTTCGCTGCTTGTCCGCTGCGTCATTGTTCGCGTGCATTGGGTGGGTCACTCAACCTATTTTTGACGCGTTCGAGTTATCTCAATGCTTGCTTTCAACGCTTGTCTCCTTGTAATTGCAGGTGGGGAAATACACAACATGTTGTTTTTGCGTCGTGTTTCCTCCGCTGCTTTCCGCTGCGTGTTTCCTGGAGTGCAGTCGGTGTTGGGGGGCGGGGGGGTTGCAGAGGGAGGTGGGTTGCGGGGGGGGCGGGGGGCAGTCACGTGCGAGTCCCGCACAGCATATTCTTCTGCGTTCCACTCCTTTGCAGTGTTTCCACTTTGGTTTGTCCTGCTTACTCGAGTGCAGTCGTCGAGGGGTTGGGTTACGAGCGAGCCACGCGCAGCACTCTTTCCTGCGCACCACTATTCCGTATTAGAATCATGTGGCAGTATCTCCATTTTCCTTTCTTTCCGGAGCGCTTGCAACTATTCATTGTAAATGAAGTTTGAGATCGGTGCTAGGTTCTGGGGATGCAAAATGACTAGAAGAAAATTAAAACCCTAACAAGACAAATCTCATGTTACGCAGCCCCAAAGGATACCTGTCTGGTGAAGGGTAGGGGGGTTACGCCATAGGTTTTATACCAATAAAACCCTTGGGCCTGAGGGGGTTTGGAAATAAATCTGGGTGGGTCTACCCCCCCAGGATTTCTATCTCATCAAGACAAAACTGCTGACGAGCGAGCAACATGTGTGAAATAAAACCTAGTTGGCCGCCAAGCCTGACCCCTGCGCGCACTCGAAAGCCTATCTATTCATTCCAGGTGGCCCGGCACCGGGGTAACATTCAGGACTGTGACCCTGGCTTTTTCCTACGCCTTAACCCCTACAACATGATTTCCATCAAATTTTAGCCTGGCTTTGTTCCGTACAACTGGCTGATTTTTGAACTATTAGGTTTAGGAAAAAGGCCAAGACAGAGGAAGAGTGATGTTTGGGGTCACGCACCTTGAGTTTTATGTCTTTCCTCCCCCAAACCCTCCCCGGCAAAAAAGCGAGCACAGCAAAAACCAAACCGACATCCCCTGGTTTGCCTGTGCTGTGTTCCAAATGACTGCAAGGCGTTCGACATCAATCCAAGGTAGCAATGGTTTTCATGTTTTCATCTTTTTCATAGATAGAATAAATAGCCGCAGCAGTAGCAAGAGCACCCGAAATAAAACCCATGGGCCTGACCCCTCTGAAGCAACATGTTGAGCACTGGTTTCACTAATCCCCGACGAACCCAAGACATGAAATAAAACCTAGGGGACAAAGGGCACATGACTTGAAATGAGAAATCTATCCCAAAAAAATTCAGGCCTGAGCCCCCCAGTTCAGTTTCCAGCCACCGGACCCCTATCCAAGGTTCCTTCCAAAAATCCTTGCGCTAGTGCCCCAAAAGTCCGTAGTCAACAAGAACCTCAGCAAAACAATGACCCCACGGGCCCCTGCTATACGGAACTACTCAAGCAAGGTTAAAACCCCAAGGGTCCATTACATCAACAAAGCATACCTCAAACTATGGAGGCCCAAAGGTCCCCTACGCACATATAAATGAACCAGAACCCCAACTGCCCCTTGACAAAAAGACCCTAAGAAAAGATTAATCCAGTACATGTGAAGTTATGACACCCCAGGACCCCCTTATATCAACAAATCATTCCTATGGAGCCCCAAAGGTCCCTTAATCAAAAACCACGAGCCCCTATCAAAAGCAATACTAAAATTCTGAACCTCGGGAAGCTGTTAAAGACATGAGAACTGAAACTATGGAGCCTCAAATGTCCCTGGTATAAGACATGTTACTGCGCCCCAAAGTACTCAGCCCAAATGTCCTCAATGTAAAGCAAATCTTCTGCAACCGAAAGGGCCTTTTGCATGAATAAAAATCATAATTCCAACAATGCAACCTCAAGACTCGGTTCCAAGAAAAAAAAGCACCAAGACACTGTTCGGCAAACATTAGATTGTCCAGGGCCGTTCGTGGACCGTGCACCTAGTACTAGTAGTGGTAGTAGTAGCAGTGGTGGCAGCAGTGGCAGTAGCAGTAGTAGCAGTAGCAATAGCAGAGTCATCGTTTTTTGGTAAGTGAAATGGAAAGGACGGCCCCTTCCAGCCTTATGATGGGAGAAGGCATGTGCGGAACGAGCCTTGTCGACTCGTACATTGAGCTTCTGCTCCAGCGCAGCAGACTCGGAAGAAGCTCAAAGCTCAAAAGAATGGTTCCTTAAGAACAAATGTTCTTTGGACCCTGCGTGAGCGGGGCAATGGAACCGTGGTACTTTGTTTGAAGATCACCAACGTGTTGAACTTGACGACGGTCTACGAACCGGAACCAAAATTGTCGAAAGCATGGCAGCTACAACATGGTGACTAGAATGACTAGAAGAGACATGGCGGCAAGCTTCGCCATCGTCATTACTGTGATGCTTGTAACATGCAAGAAAGGCAAGGAGACACTAGCTTACGACAGAATGCATTTCTTTATGAAGTCACCTCTTCTGATGGGCCCGCATAATAAGGGTTGGACAGACATGGGCGGGTTGTCCCCAGATAAATTGCTTCGGGCAGCTGTCAACCAAGTTCACCCCAGGATTTTATCTGGATAAATTCCTGGAAGCATGAAGGGCAATCGAGAATACATACGTATCAAAGCGGTCAGAGCCTCACGAATCACCGATTTTGAATGTCCATGGGGCTTTGACATGGACCAGAGTCTGAAATAAAGCGTAAGCCACAAACCTTAAATTTTGGCATGCCTCCTCAAGCACTGTCGTCGTCAGCCCTCACCTCCCTCTTTCACAGTGGGAGGCTCAGACTGTGTTGTCTTTGTCGTCGAAACCTTCGCCTCCCACTATCACAGTGGGCGGCTCGGACTTTTTCGTCTTTGTCGACCGCAGTCGGAAGCTGCCCAGCGCACCAAAAGAGATCTTGTAGGCCTAACCCCTAAACCACTGATCATCTACTGACATAAGATTTCTTGGGTTCACCTTCTCCACAGTAGCTACCAACATACATGAAATAAAATCCTGCAAAACAGCCAGAGATACCCCAAAAAATAAAATCTTGGATTAAGAAGCGATGAAAATGGATTTTGAGGATTGAGGCCCTAGATTTCATTTTAACGCACCCGACCCCTGTCCGCATATGCCCGCATCACAATACCAACTGATCAACTCTTCCGACGACCACGCATCCAGCGTAACTGAAATGGCATGAGCTGACTGGGCTGCAGGCACCCGGGTTCTGGCTTTTCCTCTTCCTTAGGACGTGCAGGCAGAACTTGCTTACATCCCTTGGGAAGCCTGGAAAGCGTGGTAGAGGATAAGTAGGAAGCGGAGAAGCACCGCCACTTTTCGGAACCAGCAGGTCCACAAGCCTGGCTACTTTCTAATATGCTCTTGTTGGCAGGAGTACAGGAGTGAAAGTAAGCACAAAGCAAGCATGAAAAGCCAAGGCACTCGTTGCGGTAGAGCTCCATCATGCTGGCCATGATCTGGCTCACCAGTGCATGATTTAAAGAACCCATGCTCGAGAAATTCTCAAACAGACCGCCGCATGATGCCGGTTATAGTCATGCGCAGAGGTGACACACGCAGAGGTCCCAGATTTTGCTCATCGCGGGCTAAGCATCCGCCAGATCCTCGACTGCCGCCACTTGATTTGACGCAGAAACAAGATGCGGTGCTGTGGTCCGAGTGTCCTCCCAGTCCTTGTACAACAAGTTCTGCTCAGCCTCCAAGGCCTGCAGAAGGGTGAAGACTTCGCTGATTGCTTTACGGCAGTCTACGTCACAGTCTGCATTTGATACACTTCCACTGCCGTCCTCTCGTTCTTCGAGGAGCCCTGCAGCTTTTTCCGCATCGCTCCCGGCAAGGGTCATCTCATCGTCCACACGGCGGATCCTTTGCTGTATTGCGCTGTGTAGCAACTTTTGTACTGATGCACGTCCAGAATAGATGTATCTACCGTGTAGTATTGACAGCATGGTCCGTGCACGGGGCGCCACGCGCGCTTCTCGTTTTGCGCACTTCACACGCTCCGCCCCATGAGCATGCCCTTTGCGCTTCTCTTGGTCCCTTGCAGCCTCTGCACACTCCGCTCACTTCGCGCCCCATGCTCGGCCGTAGGCTTAAGGATTTAGGATGAAGGGATTGAGGTTGAGGGCTGCAGCTTGGGTATGCGCCCTTTGCGCTTCTTCCTCCACGCTGGGTGGCCACTGGGCCCTCCGCCCCTTCGCCTTGCGCTTGGGACCCTGCGCTTCGCGCGTTCGCGCGCCTGGTCCGGCAAGGCGGGGCCACTGTAAATCAAAATCTGAATGCCTCACCTGCCTGGATTGGTGGGGCACAACTTGCACTCATCAGAACGACCGCTGGACTAATCAGGCGACGCTTTGATTCATGAGGCGAGTATAAAACTCCTCACCCGTTTGGACTCAAGAGACAATTATGCAATTTCACATTCAAATCAGAACTCTTCACCTGCTTGAAGTAATGGAACGCAGCTTGGACTACTGGGATCCATCCCGGGACTAATCAGGCGAAGCTTGGAGTATCATGGGCGAATGTACGTTTAGGTCAGAATTCCTCGCCCACTTTGACTGTTGATGGGTTTACACACGCAAGTCAGAACTCTTCACCCGTTTTCACGAATTAGGCGCAGCTTGGGCTAAATAGCTGTGGACATGCTCAGGGAATCGGATGCTCTCACAAGATCTGTGCGTATGGATCTGTTACCGGTCACCATGGGAGGTAAAGGTAGTGCTCGTCCTCGGGGTCATGACTCGGCAGGCGCCCGAATGCACTGTAGGGCCTGGAACCCCAGCGACGCTTCGAAAAGGCTTCTGCAACTAGGATACAATTTTGGAATCTAGCCATCAGGGCAAACCCGACAACTCACAGTAATCAAGACCTTGAACCCAGACTTTTAAAGTTTTTCCTTCAGTCACCTTTTGAAGCGCAAAACTCCTGTGATATTTTTCCACACAGCTTGATGCGGGAGTTCTTTCTGAGCTGCACTCCGCCTCCGCCCGCTCGCCCGCTCCCGCGAACAACACAACACAACACAACACAACCTTGCAACACAAAGACAGAAACCGCACAATACAATACAACACACGAAACCAAGGCTTTTGCCCCTCTTATGGGCAACAGCGGTTGGGCTGCCTCCAGTTCCCCCCACCCCGCGCTTCGCAGCTTGTGCTTCGCGCTTCGCATGTCACAGCTTGTGCTTCGCGCCTTGAGCGCGGTCCCGGTCCCCAGAGCAGACCATTCTGCGTATCGTCAATTGTTTCACATGTCACTAGTTGTCAGAATGTGGGGTGAAGCTCTGTCTGTCATTCTTGGATGTGTTTTGCCACATGTCGCAGCAGTGCATCAACTGCTTCTGAGAAGGCTCTTCTCATCCAACACATCGATTCTGCGCTCCAAATTCTTCTGTCGTCGGAATGCTCCTGACGACAGAGAGAACCAACGCTGACTGAGCTTGAACGAACATCGCCATGCTGCAGTGAAACTGCAGCAAGGTCTCGAAGACTGGCCAGTCGCGCAGCCTGAATCGGCTGCAGGGCTGCAGGAGAGGCCCCTTCCTGAATATACCCTGAAAAGGCCTTGCCTCCTTCTCAGGATCGAGAATGGAAGCTTTCTTTGTCGATGTCTTTGCCGTCTTCGACGTCTTAGACAGACTTGCAGGGTCTAGAGGTGTCCTCAGGTTAAAACATCTGCAGTACGAAAAAACAGAACGGCACTCGGCATGCTCGGCTTTTTCAAGTGCGTCTGAGCAACACCTGAAGTGTTTGAAAGCCACCAATCAGTTGAACCTGCTGGGAAAAGCAAATGATCAAGGTACAATTAGCCTCACTGTTGAGCCCTTGCCGCCTTTCCAGCTGGCGATCCTTTGGCCTTGCTGATTTGCCCGCACGTCGTCAAATGGACCTTCACCCGCTTTCCGGGACCTTTAGCCTCACACGCATTTGCACTGAAAGCCAACGCATGTAGTTGCCTTCGAATGCCTTCGAGTAGAATGCAGCGATGCCTGGCCGAAAAAGCCTATCTTCGCTTGGAACGTCCATTACCAAACAAAGTGTGCAAGTGGCACTCACTGAATCTAGCCTGCAGCTGCCTTTATCACATCTGGGGGTGCTTGCTCTCCCTGGTTTGATCCTCGTGGCTGGCAAGCGTGGCAGTGAACATACACTGGTGCCTGTATCTGCAAGACTATGACAAAACAATTTGAACCGCACACCGATCCTGGCTGTCGCAAGACAACGTGTGAGCCAGGCACGTCGGCTGCATGCATCCAAGGCCTCGGCTCTGCTCAAAAAGGCTCCCCAAAGCGCTTGGCTCTGTTTGCAGCGGGGCAGCTCGTCAGAACGCCCCTCCTCGCAAATCCGACAGGTTGCTGCTACGTTTCAGGATGCAGCCATTTTGTGGTGTCGTCGGTGTCGTGCACTCCTTGAGGGAGAGGCGGTCATTGTCCTCTGCCGTTTTCCCTGCCAAGATATGCCAGGTCAAGCCATCAGCAGCCGCAACCTGACAGGAGCGGCGGAGATGCAAGTGGCTACGACCCTTGCTTGCAGGCGCAGCGGGAAAGCCTTGCTTGCTTGCATACGGCTTGCCAGCCGGCATGTCAACAATGCATAAATGACATGCTTGACTTTCAGCGGTGACTGTCTCTGGTTTGTTGCCAGCAAACGCGTCCTGAGGCGATGATGATTTCGTTGATGAACCAAGAACTTTAAGAAAATGGCTGTTCTCAAGAGCGGCTCTCACCAGTTGATCCCTCTATTGTGACTATGTATGTGGGATTAGATTACAAGGTCTGGAGCGTCGCCTCGATGCAGCGGCATCCCGGGAAGGGTGCCGCCCGGCACCGCACCTGCTGCCTTCCCGGACGCGGCTGGCCTGCCAGTGATGGAACAGAAGCAGGGAAAAGCACACTGCTTCTTCAGTGCCTGCTTGCAGGAAGCCAAAGGTGCCGAAGGTGCAACCCAGCAGCCTTGCTCACATGATTAATGCGAGATACAAAGCAGCTTACGGTCATGAGACCTTCAGGTCAAAAGTTTGCAGGCTGTGATTACTGCTGAACAGTACAGCTCCATGAAAATGGATGAAAGGATCATATGAGCAGCGCAATGGCATGCAATTGCTAGAAATGGATGCCTTCCAGACGGGGCATTGCTGCCAATCGATTTTCTGCCACACAGATAGGATCAGTAATCAGCTACCTGAATCAGCATCTCTTTGCACACATGAGGAATCGTCTGATGCCAAACGCAGCCCAGATGCAAACAGCTTGTCCGTGGTGGCATCGGCATCCCAGGCAAGTGGAACCCGGCGTGAAGCAAAGCAGTTCTCCCTAGTCCCTGGTGGCGTAGTGCCTTACTTCCTGAAAGTATTGAAAGCAAGTATTCAGAGCATCTTGATAAGGCCAATGAATCCCACTGGCTGCATATCAGGCATGTTGGGAAGCCAATGGCTGCTTCGTGACACGATTCGCGGAGAACTTTGACACTCAAATTGACACGTACTGACATGTCAGAGCATCCCAAGCTGGAGATCTAAAACGCGGCAGGCACTGTGAATTGAACTCGATCCTCATCCTGCTTGATCAAACGATACCTGAGCACTCGAACTCCTTATGCAGAACATGGCCCGTTGCTCGTCGACTGATGTGCGCTAAGACAAGAACAGCTCAGAAATAGTCAGTGGGGCCGTGCCAGCGTTGTCACCAGCTCCACCTTACGCATGAGGCCCCAAAAACAAAAAGTGCAATGTTGGCCCGGCAGGGCTGCTGCCATACATGGTGAAGGTCCTGAGCTATTTTGTGCTTCTGTCAAGACATGCTAACTGGACAGCAGCAGGATTTGCTTGGATGAGCACTTTCCAGCACCAGTTTGGCCGTATGCAAACATGGCCACCTCGGGAGAACTGATACCGGAAGCCTGTGAAGAAAAGGAAAGTAGCCAAGTTGGCGGCGTTGTAGCCGTCCAAGGCTGATTGAACCAAATCCTTGCAAGTGTCGAAGACTTCCGCCTGCTTCGTTTCCATCCAGCATATCTTGATGGGACATGTCTACAAGTACAAGGTATTCTTGGCTTCATGTCCGCAAAGGGTCAAATGTGTGTGCTCATCTGGAAATGAGATGAATCATTGCTGAAGGTAACCCTTGGAACTGCAAGCTGGCCAGTGCTGTCGATGCAATATCACTGCTCCGGGAGGGTGCTTTGTTGCACTTTATGCTCGAAACTGTGGTCTGCGTGGTACATGCACCAGGACCAAAAATATCTATAGAGAGGCTTCAAAAAATACAAAACAACTTGTGATTGAACTGATTGCTTGAGTATACGAAGCTTGGCGACTTCTACTTGAACAAGACAACAGGATGTTGAGACGAGAATGCTATTGCAGATTGACGTGGCTGCCACTCCAGCAGAGATTGACGCAACGCTTGGCTACATGCACTCGGAAATTCTTCGCCACGGTCAATCCGAGAGATGGCTGTTGTAAATCGTTGTAACGTGGCTCCGCAGAACTGGGGAAAAAGGCATACAGCCCAAGAATGCGAGTTCAATCCTGGTTTTTCGCAAGCATTACAAGGGCTGGAATGCAAGGACTCGAAATGAGACTCAAAATGAGACCAGTGTGTGAAGGTTTCCTGGGGTGGAATACTCAAACATGTGTGGACCTCATGTGCCAAACACATAATTCTGTGCTACAAAGGTAGTGCATGGCCCTCCCTTGAGAAGGGGGTGGGAGGGGGGAGTAAAGATAGGTCAGAAGTATTTCCGATATGGACGTGGTAGTGAGGGGGGTAGGCCTGGGAGGGTCGACCACCTATAACAGCTTACGGGGCCAGGGTGTAGGGTATAGGTACTAGAAGAGGCACGGTTTTTAGGTCGCACCTTTTGTAGTGGCTCTCCTACTACGAACCTACCAAGACCCCTCCCCCTATTGATTGGTGCCTGTGCTATTGCTTGGAAGCTCTATAGAATTCTACAGAACACATCACGGTATAACCTTTGAGACGTCTTGAGACAAGGAGACGACAACTGGCAGGATCAACCAGGCTGAATCTCTCTACCACGACTTTGAAGCAGCACTGGCAGAGGCATGATCGCATCTGATCTAGGAGCAGAGATGACTACTACATGACAGTTCTGCCCTATTTCCTGGTCTCATTCTGCCCTATTTCTCTGGCACCCAGGAAATAGGTCGCTAAATAGGGCGCCCTGGGGTAACCCCCTTATGCCCCTATTTCAAGACATCCCCCATGGTAGTGCTAAAAAGAATACAATCTTTGATATCGTTTCCAGCTCCCCCAGTTGGAACAAGAGCCTCTACTCTACAATGGCTGACAACGATAGCTATCAGCAGCATCTGTCCTGCCTTTGTTTCTACTAACCTTCTTCTGCAGCTTCAATCCGCAGCTGGCCTGCGTGCCAGGCTTGAACACGGCGTCAAAGTTGAACTGCTCTGGCTCGTTGGCGATCGTGCCAGCTGAGAAATCATGTTCAATCGTATTCATGCTTAATGCTGCACAGCACTACACCGGCAGATAGTAACAATTGAAGAAGCAACAGGAAAGAAAAAAATCACTCAACAAATCACAGGGCGAATGTTGAAGGCCCGGGAGGTAGCAGGGATAAGCTTTGCGCGGCACATCTTTCAGTCATACCCTGAGCACCAGACCACTTGGCTTCTGAGTGTTCACAGTCATGGAGTCAACAATCTCGGTCACCTGAAGGAAGACACGTCATTTGGCACCTGACTGTCGGCACTCGAAATGTCACGCTTTCAGAATGCAAAGGCGCCCGTAACTCTCACATCGAATTACACAAGCACCGAAGGCATTCAGGTGCGGGAGGTCCCTGGGCATTTGGCATCCACATCCTGAAGATCTTTCTCCCGCCTGGCAGCAGGGGATCAGAAGGGTTCATAGAGAAATGAACTGCAACTCATCTTTCAAGCTCATGATGCAAGCGCTTGACAAACACCTCCTGCAAAGCCAGATGAAAAGTGTGCAGGAGACATGTCAGCTTGGCTTGTTGATGGGACGAATGCGGCAGAAGACGCGGATAGAGCCCTTGAGATCTTCCAGAGCATTGTGGATCCTGCCGCGCCGACACTTGTACAACTCCTCTAGGTCCTAAGGCATGGATCTTGCAATTTACATACTTTACAACTGAGGCCACTCTCTGCTTTCCACAAGCGCTCAGCACGGTAACTGCCTCCTCCGCAGCCCATCTGCCTCCCTCAGAGCTGCAGAGGGCACCTCGACGGCCTGAGCCCACGAACTCGCAAAACACATGTGTTTGCCAGAGATACAAATGCACCACTCACTTCATTGCTTGTGTAAAGGTTCAGAAGTTCAGGGAGGATGGCAAGAGCCAACAGCAGCCAGCAGATTTTTGTTGTTTGGAACAGCAACGAAAGCCTTGGCCGCGAGAAGCGCGTTGAAGAGCTCCTTTGAGGGGCTACACATGGCCAGACACCAAACATTCCGAGGGTCACAACACGAAAGGGACTGAATCCCTCGAAGTGTGCTCTGGTTATGTAAACATGCTCAGCATAGCGACTGCCTCCTTGGCTTCCTCCAAGGCTTCCATGCCTGGCACACTCTTGGACAGCTCGCAGAGAACGCTGGTCTCCTAATGGCTCGGCCCAATATCGTATCATTACGATCACCTTGAAGAATAGAATAATGATACATAATGATACTGCCTGAATATCTTGCATTAGCTTGTCAAAATGCTGTTCTTCCCAATGTTAACCTCAAAATCCCCTGATGATCCTCATTGCCAAACTCTTGTTGCTCTCTGGCATCTGATAAGCCAGCAGGTAAAGCTGTTGCGGTCGACATCCGCCAATTTCTGCACCACCTTTGAGACCTGCAACGTCTAACGAAAGTGCACCATTAAGGGTAAGGCAAGGGCGCGGATTTGACAGAACGAGCAAATAAATGCAAATGGTACCTGTCCATGGTGCAGGCGTTCTATGTCGTTCTTGTTTCCGTCGTATTTAGCGTGTGCGTTTTGCACTTCTGGTTTGTGGTTTTTTTCGTGCTTCTGAATGGAGCACCTCAACGTTCCGACCCTTGCGTTCTTCCCAGTGGCAATGGCTGCATGCATGAATTTGCTGGCAGGCGCAGGAGACTTTGGGCTTTGGGAGTCCGAAGAATGGAACTCAAGAATCCAAGATTGTGGAGTTCTTAGCGTATTCAGGAACTCCCACGATGGCTAGGACTTCAGAAAAAGTTTGCTTCTCAGGGTTGCTAAGAGCTCGGACAGCAACAAGGAAGTTTTCAGGCACCATGGTTTGATGTCCGGGGCCAGAGTGGTTTGGGCCTGGAGCTGGCATGAGTGCGCAGTTGACCAAATGGACGTCATTATGGTTTGGGCATGGATGAATCATAGAGTTCGGGGGAGGGTGTCAGGGGGCGTAAGGGTGGGGTGCCTTACTACCGACTGAATCAACCCTGATCAGGCCTCAACTTTCCCCAATCTTGACCTTGTCGAAGACACCCTCTCCCCACCTACATGACTAAGCGTTATTGTGGTTTGGGGATAGATGCTCTATTCATGGGATGCACTCGCGGATGAACGCCATCATGCTTGAGGCAAATAAGGCATGTATGCCTTGGTCACCGAATCCACACATGTTATCGGGAACCACGATTCCTGCGCTTGAGTTCAGCAATGGTTGGAATTTGCTTGCTGTTCTTTTCCATCATCGGGTTCGGAGCATGATTTTTTGTTCTCCCAGAGGTATTCATGCTGAAATTATGCTTGCCTTACCTCATCCTGTGAAATCTGAACATTTGGATGGACAATGTTGCGAATGAGACCACAGCTAATGCTGGCAGATTAGACATTTGGAATCTTGCGGAAAAGACGTTCGGTATCTTCGCACCCCCTCCAAAAAGCTGTGTTGCATAAAGCTCCCGGGAACTTGAATTCGATCTGAGACTCGATGTATCCCCCAAGAAGTCACAACACCTCTCTTTGTTGAGGTGCAACAGGTGCAATCATCTGGTCTTGCCTGGCCAGTGCACGTTCTAGTTGGACTTCAATATGCCACCCCTCTGTCTCTGCACTTTGTGCTTGGTTTTCTTCTTTATTCTATAGCCCGAAACGCTGATACTGGAAAAGAGGGCATAATCAGCAACAGGGTGAGCCAAGCCAAGGAGCCAAGGTACTTCCTGGGCCTGGAAGCGCAGCTCGAGTTGGCCGTTTTGTCCACGAAAAAAAATGTGGACAAAACAAAGCGCCGCTGCAGCCGCTGCAGCTCGCGATGCTGGCGATGCTGGCAGCACGTCTGGAAATCGAGGCAGCAAGCGCTGGCAAGCGCTGGATAGGTTTGGACGTTAAAGGGTCTGGTCTCGAAGGCTGAAAGAAATCCGGTCAGAGAAATTGACTTGCAGAAAACCTGCTGACCTTGATGATGCCAGCCGCCAACCTTCCAGTGGTCGAAAACTCGGCTAGTTGTGGGTCAAAGATCACTCGCTGCCACTTATGATCCGTCGGCGAAGCACTGCAGAGCTCTGCGCAGCCTTCTGCAGAGCTCTGCGCAGCCTTTTTTTGCAAACTGAGGCATGAATAGTTTGCTCTTTTTCGGGAATGTACGCGAAAGTCTATTGCGCAGAACTCGGGAATTGCGCTTTTACCGCATTAGAAAACAAGAGCCAGCAACGTCTTCATCACTTGAAGTTTCCATTTGTCAAAATTAGTTGATGTTGAATAAGCTTTGAGGCTGCCGCTTCACTATGGGATAGGATCAGGCCTCCAAAATGGCAGGTGCGAAATCCCGTGGCTTCTAATGTCAGCCATAGGTGGGCATACCCATGACAGCGGCATCAGCTTTTCAAGTCTTAATGTCCGCCATAACTGGTTTGCAGTTGCAGGGTAGCCGACTGGGTAATCTTGTCAACGTTGTTGCGTGCACTCTTTAACACACTAACATGAAAATCCAAGGAGATTGGTACAGTCTCGGGAAAGAGGGGCCACCAAGACATGAGAAACGCAGCTGTCACTTATCTTGGCATCCGCTGTTGCTGCCTCCTTCTTGCACATCGCCCGCTGCTGCTCTTGCCCCAAGACCTCCAACGCTTGCTCGAACCTGAGGCTAACCCAGGACATGACTTCACGCTGCAGCTCTCCTGAAGCAGTCTCAACCAAGACTGGCGCTCCGTCTCAGGAAGCCTGGGTCTCATGTACCAGCAGAATTTGGATGTTGCTGCACGTTGTATCTGTAACATTTCGCTCGGCCGCAGACTGCACACTGCGCGCACGTTCGATAGCTGTTTCAAGCCTCAGCTTCCAACAATTCCTGAAAAGGTCAAGAGCTGAGTTATGGCAAGGCACGTTGTGAGCTCTTCAAGCGACGGCCCCTGATCCCCTGCGTTTTGCACCTGTGGTTTTGCAAGAGGCTCGAAACGGCTGTGTTGGTCTTTTACGTCTGGTTAGGGAACGAATGGAATGGCCTTGGCCAGTTGGGCCGCCAGAAGCTCCCGAGCCTCCTGCTTCGGCGCCTGTGCTGCACGGTAAACACTCCTTACATGAGCCAAGCTCGGCTCAGATTCAAACGAACCTGAGCTGGTTTCCCTCTTTGAGACACAAGTTTCAGGCCCCAGGCCTCAACTTCCCAAACCGCCTGGGATGCAGCAACGAGGTCAGCATCCACGCCTGCCTCCTTGGCCTCCCACAGCACATGGGTGCATTACTGCCGTCTCAATGCTTCCAGTAGCTAATGTCCTGCCTGATGGAGTGCGAAGGTGAGCGCCGCGACGTCTCGCGCATCTGTGGCCTTCTTCAGCGCAGCCTTGGCCCAGCGTTGGCCACTTGCGTCCATCACGCTGAGGTCCTGAGATCCTGGCGGTAGCTGCTTCCTTGGATTCGGCTCCTTGAAGCAGATCCTCAAAACATCACTCTGTCACCACTGAAACGCTGAAGAGAGCACATCAAATCATTGAATCATCACCGTCTGCTGTCGGCCTCAAAAGGTGCCAGCTCTTCTGGCGAGAGGCCTGTGGCTTTGGCCATTGCAATGGCCTCTCGCAGAGCGCCTCAGTGATCAGTTCCCCAAAAGTGCTTAAGTAGAGCAAATGCTTCAGAAACAAAGGACCTGGCTGGTGCCTTTTGCCTGCGCTTCTCGCAACTGTTGTCTAGCCTCCACTGAAAAAAACGAAGAATCAGTTGTGGTCGTTCTCTGGTGAGCTGCGAAGCAAAGCCTGCGCGCGCGGCATCTCCTCGGCCAGGACCTGACCGAGACGTGCGAAGGATTTCACCTCGCCTAGAAAGAGGCATGGCCTGCTCACCATGCTGCAGCTCCTTCTCTGGAATGCCTGGGCGTTGCAGAACGGGAGCCAACAGGGAAAATGGCTGTGGCTCCTGGCTTCTGGCCTTTGGCCTTGGCTCGTTGCAACGCCTGCAGAACACCAGCTCTCATAGATCTCATGGATCTGGTGTAGGGATAATGACAATGCCCAGCCTCCTGCAGGGTTTGGAGACCCTCAGGAGTGCGGCTGCCCTGACGGGCCCTGCATCCCGAAGGAGCGGATTGGGACGTTCATCGTGAAAGTCAAGGCTGCAAGGCTCAAGCTCAGCCGCCGCAGCGATCAAGTGATCACTTGCAGCATCTCGCTCCTCAGACTCTGGGGATTTGCCTTCTTTCACACCCGTGCATCAACTTGGTGTTGTAGCTCCCTCGATGGTGTGTCCTTGAGCTCTTCCACGCGAGCTTTAGCGTTGGAAAGCAGAGACTCATCTTCCACCTCCCAGAAGGATCCCAGTCTGCGAAGGCGTTGCGCGAACGAATCCGGGTTACTCAGAATAGTGACTAGCCACAAAGCAAGGAACAACCTCAAGAAGGAGCACCGGATCCTGGAAAAAATTGCCAAGCATCTCTCGCCAGCAATGGCCAAAGAAAGGAACCCCTTCACTCTGCTCGGACAAAAAAAAAACATGTGGCCGATTCAAATACATACAAATCGCCATGTTCTTGGCAGTTCGCCTGTGCTTGGGATGCCTCCTCGAGAGCAGCCTCGTGAAATGTTTGCAAGGTTGCTTCAGGGCTTTCTTCATATCAATGAAAGCTACTGACACCAAGATTCTGATTATAGAACCTGAGTGCAGTGTACTTCGCTGCTGGGGGCGAGGTCAATACCAAGATCGTGGAGTAAGCATTCATTTTAGCTAAACTTTCAAAAAAAACACCGACTACTTGCATGGAAAGCACCGGGCAGTGGCAACACATTGGGCTGGAATGTGCATCTGGCCTCCAGGTCTCGAACCAACGTCGCCCCTTCCTGGACATTTGAACTCCACCCTCTCTGTGCTAGCGCGGTGTTCCTAGGTCCTATGTGCTCTCAAACCAGATCCCCAAGCCAAGCGACGTGGCCTAAATAGGCACTAGTGCTGTCCAAGTCATTCCTTTTGTCATAGTTTGTGACCTAAGATCCCCTTAGGCCGCGGCCAGCACCTCTCGAAGCCGTCCCTCTGCCGCATTGCGCCGCTGCTCCTGGCTTGCTTTGCAACTTGACTTTTCATCGTACTGGATGGTGTCTTCGGGTCCGAACTCACAAAACACAGCTCTGGACGGGACTTCCCAACTTCATGACGCTACTAAGGGACAGTCTCAAGACTTTTAGCATTCGGGGCAACCCCATGCCGTCGCAGTAGCAATGCTCCTCTTCAGACAATTCATCATCCAGCACGGCCAGAGCGGCGGCCACTTCCTGTAAACAACGCAGGACAACACAGACCGATTACGCTCTCGTCAGTTTGGACTTCTGCTACAGCTGTGACTAAGGTGCGGGCAAGGTCGGCCTGGTTCACGGTCTCCGTCCTCACGAGGACTCTAAGCTCCTTCTTCGTTCTTTGGGTCTGGGCCACCCCTCAAGGGCAGACACCAGGGCGGCTAGGCCCTGAGCACGTGTATCCCAGCCCATCCCATCAATACAATTCAATACACGCGAGAACCCAAATGCTGCACACATGCTGTGAGGCAAACCCCAACACCCTACATGAACAGTAAGCGTGGCGTCCCCACGTGAGCTTTTCTGCTATGCAAGCCGACCAGGATACTAGATTAACCTCTCAAAGACACATGTTCCGTGAAGCCCTACACCCACTACCAAGCGACAGGCGATACGTGTTTCCAACTCGCATTGAGGTTTGACATGTGAATCCAAAGAATTTGCTACCGCGTCGCAAAAAAGACAATGACGCCACAGCATTCCAAGCCCAGTAGCTTTTACTAAGCCCTACGATCTTCTTCTTCTGCAGGCCACGCGCACCCCCGTCGCCGACCCTTGTGGTTGCACCCCGTGTCCCATGCCCTGTGGTCGGCCCGCGAGGTTCAGAGTACCAGCGAGCCACATCCCCACAGAGGAGACCCCAGACCAATGTTAGTTAGGTCTGGTGCCTCGGGGCTACCATCCTTGAGGATCACCCTGCTCGAGCGGGGCCTCTGCATCGTCCCAACGCGCACCAGACCAGCCAAACAAAAGTAATACACCAACACCGTGATTGCCTGGTTTGGCCTGGTGTTGTGCAAGTGTTTCCCCCCCACATTGCGGCACTGGATCGAGGGTTTTGGCTCCCCTACTTGTGGGACCTCCAAGGCGTGTGAAACTTTGATGCATGCAGTCTGCTCCCAAAGGTATTGCTGGTGTAGTCCTGCTATCTGTCCAGAATGCTACTCCAAAAAAAGCAGAATTTTTTTGCACCCTCTTGTTCAAGTATTGGTAGGTGGCATCCACTTTGTCCATTCTATTCCTTGCTCAATGGTGGCCAGGACTCGAGCCAACGTCTCGACCTCATCCTTCTGGTACTGTACTCTCTGCACGCAATATCATCCTGGAGTGAAGCTTTTCTAGCATGTGATGTGCTAACTCTTGCAACATCCCTGCTGGGTGGCTCCTTGGCCTGATCTTGCACTTCCGTTTTGCCTGTCTGCAGCGCAGTGCTTTGTAACGACCTTTTCCATAAACACGTCTCATTCCTTGTGTTATCCGGCATCTAGATTCTCTTCCTCCTGGATTTATCCACCACTGTGACTTTCAGCTGCCCACTCTCGTCCATTTGTTTTTGAAGCTGCGCCACCCACTGTGCACTGTGAAGGTCTTCAAGTGGGATGATGTCCAAGAGAGGCCAGGTGGCGGTATGGCGTGATGCCATGGTGCTGCAAAAAAATGCCTCAAATAGGATGGCACTTTGGGCTTCTCTTTCCAAAGCTGGAAGACGCTACTGTGCTGGTACAGGATTTGGCGTCAATTGTCTTGAGGCTCAAGTCCAGTCGTCTGACAGCTGCTGACAGCTGCGTGCCCCCCTTGAGGAGAGCGCTGAGGCAGTGCCTCAAGCTGGTCAGCTGGGGGTGCCGCTCAGTCCACCGAGGCCCCCAGTACTGCCCCTGGCTGCTGCCATTTTGTCTAACCGGAAGCACAACACAGGGGTACTCATGCCCACAGATGGCTAGCTAGTAGGAGCTTCCTTCTCCAGGTGGTTATGACATTTACAATGCAAAGCCCTTGATGTATGGCCTCTGCCATGACATCCACAACTTACTGCACACAGCAACCACTAGAAAACGCATCGCACCATCTGAGCAATACAGTACAAGCACCTTCCAAAAGTCACATTTTGCACGGAAGTCCAGTCTCTCTCTCCCTCTCTCTTTTGCTTTGCTTTGCTATTCTCTCTCTCTCTCTCTCTCCCCATCTCTTTCTTTCTTTCGTTCAGGCTATGGAGGTGCTCTCTCTCTCTCTCTCTTGGAGATTTGGTCGTCTCCAATATGGATCCCAACACGCTACAGTATTATCCTTATTATAGAGACCCCCCGGGAGGTACCCTAAGTTTGGGAAACCCCATGTCCTCACCCGCTTCTTACGGCTCTTTGTAACCTACAGAGAAACACCTTCATGAAGGTTCACCAAGGCAGCTGGCGCCAAGGGCTGTGCCGAATCTTCATCCTCCTCCTGTAGATCACGCTTCTCAGTTGGCTGACCTGCCTGCGAACTCTTCGCTTCGTCTATATGAGACCAACCTCTTCACCCTCCGCGCCAGCCTCATCCATTAGACTCTTGCATGTGCTTATCCACTGGTTGGCATTGTCCAAACCTCTTGCTTGTCAAGAAAACATGACATGGTCTTGCTGGGAGTTCAGCTGCTACAAGCATCTCCATTACCTCCAGAAGAGCAACAGGGTGCAGAAGCAGAGCATACAATGACAAGACCTCTTAGCTGGTGTAACCCAGCCTCACCATGGTTGAAATCTTGCGCATACGAGAGAGCGCTGTTCCCCTGAAAAAGCAGCGACGTCTGAGAAAGACACCTATCAACACTCTTCCACACATTCCAATCGCAGCTTTGCAAGCAATGCCGAAAGAATGGCTCGCAACATTCTCCAAGCCCCATGGGCCTGATAGTCTCGTGCGTTGGGATTGGCGCTCTTATCCAGCAGAACCTTTCAAACAAACAACTGACACGTATATATCTACAAGGGTCAGCCAGCTGCAACAAGAGGATCCGTAGAATCTCCTTGCAACTTGCAACGTCATGAAGAAAACTTAATCAACGGGGCTAGTGATGAGCTCAACACACTGGCAACTAAGTTACAGCCCGCTACAGGATAAACATCATGAATGGGACCTCAACCGGTTGGCATGTCTGATCTTCTGACTGCTGGCATCTTGAAAGCCAGAGACATCCTGCAGAGAGTCTTGCCTGCAAACCATCCACATCCCCTGTTCCTGCAGCGAACATCAGCGCCTGAGCATCTCAGAGCAGCTGCAGCTGCGGTAAGCCATCTGTGACACACTGAAGCCAGGTACTCTTCAGGAATTGGCCGTGCAGCCATTGTGATCACGAGCGTCGATCATCGCACCGGCGCGCAGGAGCGAACGCAGGATATCTGCCTGCTGTGCTCCAAAGGCATCCACTGCAACAGTGACTGACTTCAACGATGCTCGCTCCACAAGTTTCCAGTCGTTGAAGTGCCTTAGAGCACTTCGCAGCATGATGAAGTGCGGTCTTCTGGGTATCGTCCATGGCATTCACATACACCTGCATCGCTGGCACGGCCACTCTCAATGCCCCCCAGAGAGAAAGGGCCCTGGCCTCTCCCTTGCTAAGGAGGTAGTCAACCTAGGGCAGCTAAGCTTGCAGGCAACTCCGTGTCTAGAACTTCTTACTTCAGTCGTTGGCTAGGCTGCGAAGAGATGCTGGGCTTGGGGCGATGTCTCGACTGCCAATGGCGGACGCGTACATCAGCGCCGTGCGCCCGCGGATGTCGCTGCGGTTGATCAATGTGTTTGTGCGCCTCTCAGCCCACACACTTGGAGTGCCTGTGTCCATCAGGCGTGAATGTCCCATAATGCTGATGTCCCGTCCTTGCCGGGGAGACTGGGGAAAGCTCCTCGCCTGAGAGGCAGAAAACCCGCCCAACCCCCCTGCTCTTCCTGAACCGGTGCACTCTTCTGGGAGACCACGCCCTCTCGCGAGAGTGAAGCCTGCTTGTATAGTGACTTCAACAGTCGCCATTCGTTTACATTCAAAAACATTCACGTAAAACGGGCAGAAATGTCCAGGACTGCGCTTGCCCCTGTCACGTCGTACCCTACTGCGGGCCTCGGCTATCTCCTTGAAGCTTTCCAGGTCGCCTGACCTACCAGACTTTAGAATACAGTTGTCCCTGTGGCTCTTGGCGCTTTTGGAACCCTGCATATGCTAGAATGGTCTAAGTCCAGCGATTTAGAACTCGGATCATCTTTCAAGCTTCAGGGAAGAACAAGAAACTCTCAGTTCAGGAGTCCTCGCGAGCTCCAGCAGCTTCGTCACCTGGCTCCGAGGCCACACGCAAACTCTCAAATAAAAGCTGTTGGAGTACGCAACGCTTGCGCAAGCTCTTTTGGGTGCTTACGAGCAAACACCTACATGATTTCGCGGTCGCGTGACATCCTCCAAACCCTTGGTCATGCAACCTTTCCAATCTTTCCTAAACACTTCTGAACCCCCTGCGTGTCTGTGTAGCCCTGTCAACATGCAGGACTATGCGCTTGAACAATGCCGGCAGGGCCATGCTCACTCGCTGCTTGGCATCAGCAGCATCCTCTTTCCCCTGACGGGAAAAGGCTGCTGCAAGATTGTCTTGGCCAGGACAAACCTTTTCGACATCCTGGAAGACTCCTTGCCCAATTAGCTGTACATCATGCCTGCTTGTCAGCGTTGGGAAACCAAGGGCTAATAGTAAGACTACTACCAGAGAATATTGGATGATATATATATATATGTACATATGTCTCTCCGTCTCTCCGCATAATATTGAAAGCTTTTACCATTAGCATTTTAAATTTGCTTCTTCAAGATTTTAACATCATTCATCGATTTCATCTTTAGGACAGAGTGGTTCATTTCCCTTCTTTCCCTTTATTCGCTTCGCTATTTAACTTGCGTGAGTGAAGCAAATCCCACGAAACTCATTTCATTTGCTTTGCGCGGGAGGAAAAAAGATTGAAGTGAACAAATGAATTACCCACAGAGAAATAAATCAGGTTTCCGGGCCCCCAGTCCGCGCAGGCTTCAGTCCGACCCAGAGGACCGAAGCCCAAGCCGCCACCCAGTACCCAGATAACACCAACCTAAGACGCACCTACAACTCTCTCTCTCTCTCTCCCTCTCTCTCGTTCACAACTATGTCATTCTCTTCTTTCATTTTAGTCTGTGAAGAGAGCTTACTTAATGAAATGAGCGTAATGAACGAGGGAAAAGAGAGAATACATTACGTTCAGTCAATTGAATAAGGGAACGGCACAAGGTGTCACGGAGTTAATGATGTACGAAAGGACAAGCAAGCTTAACCACTCTCTTGTTTCTGGGCCTGTTTATTTTCATTCGTGCATTCGGCTTCTTCGCTCGCCCACTTCTTCGCTCCTCACAAAATAAATAGGAGAAAATGAGAAGCAAAGAAGGGAATGGGAGAGCGAGAGCGTTTGATTCATGTCGTTTCTTTTGCCCATTCGCTTCGCTTTGCTTCACTTCCTTCATTAATTAAAGTGGACGAGAAGAAGAAGAGGGAGAGAGAGCTAGGGAAGAAACAAAATGAAACCAAGAAACAAAATCAAACCCAAGAAGCCCACATTTGGATCAGTTTGTAGGATGTTGGACGTGTAATCCTGCTCTACAGCAATTAAGGGCTCCTGTAGCTAGAATACTATACATGTTCCAAACTCTTTGCTTGGTGAACTACTGATAGCTAGGCAATACATGCATCACCGATTGACAGATATGCTCCCTACGTGACCGGAAGCACAGCTTCACCTTCCTGTTGGATGGCTCTCAGCCTTGTTCGCTTCCCATCTTTACCTCATGGCTTCAATGCCCCTCCTGATCTTTTGTCTATATTGCTGCTTTCAGGGTCTGGGATCCAATCATCCAATAGCGGATCTTCTTGCCTAGGACCCCATTCATGCATGGCACGGCGGGCGGCAGCAATTCGGGCACGCCTGTCAAGACGGATGATTTCGGTAGTGGTTTGTCAGCTTCGCGCACTTGGGCCCATGACGCTGCGAGCGCTTCATGAGGCAGTCCAATGCCGTCCGGGTATCAACTTGTGGGGCTTCAAGGCTGCGCTGCGCTTCTTTGCCATCGAGGCTCTGTCAGGTGACAATTTTCGAGCGTGAAGGCGTTGAAGGGAATTTGGGAACTACTGCCCAGTGCAGCAAAGAACATGGAAGAAGCTTGTGATCAACGTGAATTGCTGGACTGATGTTTCAGGACAGTATCATCCGCTGTTCCGAGTGTTGCAGCCATGGGCAGGCCTTACAGTCCAAAGACGACCCATGAGAACATGGTGCCCAGCCCGGCTTAAGTTTTGCTGGTGTGCAGGGATAGTGGCACCTGTTTGGAAAACTACATTTGGAAAGATTCCATGCTATGCATGTTGTTGAGGGCCAGTCATGGCACTTTTGATTTCGGTGTCCTGTTTGAAGCCTGAAGGCATCCCACGCAGCGCGGAGAGTCAATGCCCAAGGCTTCTAACTCAGAAGTTGGTGGACGTCATTGTGTGGACTGGGCTGAAGTACATTACATGCCTAGTTCCAAAGCAGCATGAACGAGCCTCGGTGTTGGTGTAGGTCTTGCTGTGTACCTTTGGGAGCTTGACGGCGCCAGCCTTTGTAAACCTGGTGCAGAGACTGCTGGGTACGACTGTCCCTGCAGTTGTGGGACGTCGAGCCTCACCAAGGCAGCTCCTGACGAGCTGGAGAGGCTTACCTCAGTTTGAGCAAATTGAGACACCGCATTCACTTGCAGAAGTGGCAGCCCAAGGCCAGAACCCAGCCCTGGATGTGCTCCTCATTGGGCCTGAGGAGGGGCGTCTGCTTAAGTCTGCAGGGCTGGCAAGACCACAGCTTGGGAAGGCACTCAGCAATGACAGTTGAAACCAGGGCACGCCTCGCTCATCCAAAATTGCACAAATCATGAGCAACGGACTCGTCAACACCGAATCAGCATCCGCTATCTTCATCTTCATGCCATCTTCATCAGAATCAAATTCAATTCATTTCTCTCACCATTCGCATGTAGTTCCGGACCTCTGCAAAGAACCCGACCTTGCAACTTGCAACTTGCAACGGATCGCAACAGCTGATGGTGACCTGTTAGGACCAGCCAGTGATTCCCTGATTTGTTGATTCTGCTGCCAAGTAATGCCTGCATTTGTGCTTGTTCCAGGTTCCACTGGGCCGCTTGCTCCGGTGCCAACTCCAGAATTTTGATCCTGCAACAGGTGCATGTACGTGGCGAAGTACCGCTGTCTGCAGCAAAATGCAGGCTTGATCTCCAGCAGACGCACCTGCTATGTGGCAGCAGCGTGTCCAGGAACGGGCCTAGGTAAACATTCGCATGCGCTGGCGGCGCTGACACCGCTATCTCAAGGTCCCGGCTGCTGAGGGCTTCACCGGCACGCACTGCCAGCATTTGCAGCCTTGCTAATGCAGCTCTAGCGATTCCAAGTTGCAGGAACCCAACGGGAGCGCAGTGATGCAGCAACATGCTATGTGCGCCAATAAGGCTTTAGCACTTCAAGCTGCGAGCCCACATCAACCTTGCAAGATCGGAAAGTGCGCGGACATCAGGGCTCAAGGCATGCTGGCTGCCAACTCTGTTCGGACCGTTGATGTGCCTTCGAGAGCACGGAGTGTGGCTTCGCCTGCATCGCAACGGGCTGGCTTTGCTGCTTTCGAAGCCGATTCCAGTCTTGGTGATGCTGACGACAGCTTTCCAGCTGAGGAGGCTGCAGCGCTTGGTGGTGCAATGTGAGGCTCCCCGTCGCTACTGATGACAGTGATCCAGCCTACAGGTTTCTCTGTGACGGATTGCCCCGGCAGGAAAACAGGCCTTGGCGACCAGACTCGTCAGTGACCAAAGCCCGGCGCGCTTCGCCCGTCTTTGGAGCAACGGCTTCAAGAACCTCCAAATGTAGGTATCTGAGGGACCGAAGAAAAGCTTTCACTTTCCGAGCAAAGAGCAAGGCCTTGAAGGAGCTTCCGCCATTCAAGTAACCTAAGAACTTGCTGGAAATGTTTGTCTCCTGGCGCAAGGCCACCTGAGCGGCTCACAAAATGGAATCGAAATTTCGAAATCTGGTCCGCAAATCTGCGAGCACGGCTGGCTTCATGGCAACGCAGTATGCGTCCTGTTACCACGGATTGGATCCAGCTCCCCCAAACTGACATTTGCAACTTTGCAACCAGTTCAATTCAACGTTACAACCCAAGAAATTTTCATGATATTGGTCCCCTGACGGGAAAAAGGAAGTTCGAATTTGAAAAGCATAGAAACACGAGTCAAGAAACGATGGTCTGAACCTCACCATGCTTCACCCATGTCCTGAATGAGAAGCTTCTCAAACTCGCCTCAGTTCACGTTCCAGAAAGTCAAGGCCGCCAAAATACGCAAGAATGTCATGTCCTAACAAGTGGCTGGGCAATGCATTTTCCGTCGGCGCCATATTGCCGCAGAACCCTGACCAAACCGCTTGAAAAGAAGTAATGGGCCGCTATTCCAGCTGATGACGCTGGGACAAGCGTGGTGATTGGGTCTCAATCTGTGCTTGCTGTCCTCATAATGAGCCGATCACAGCTGTCCATGCTCACATTTCACAACGACACAACGACGGACATTATCAGGATCCCCGAAATCGCAGAATGGCAGGGCCGAGGTTTGAGATATTTTTTGCAACACCATATTATTTCTTTGGCTTCACTCGGGTTTCTGGACTTTACTTGGCCCTCGAGCTATGGCAATGTTCCAAAAAAACGT